CTGATCAGAGATTTTGTGTTTTTCCGTCTCAGATCGGTCGGTAACTTTCTTGCATTTCTTTCTTTTTTTAAAAAAAATATCGAAGATTCTTTTTGTTTTGAAATTTTAAACATGGTTTCAGAGAGCTGGATGCCTGGTTCCATGAACGTTTGGTAGAAATGCTATTTTTTTTTCAAAAAAAAGAGAGTGGAATGTTTGGTAGAGGCGCGATTATCGATGAGTTTTGTTCGTTCCAACATTTTTTTTTCTCTCTTAGTTTCGAATTTACTCTGGCAACTCTCATCTATCGTCGCCATTATCATTAGAAATGCATTGGAATTTCTCCCTTTGTTTTTCTTGTATAAATAATTCTTCTCTCTGGCTTTTCAAGATTTTTTTCTACTCATTCTCATAGCTCTCTGGCTTTAACATGCATGGATAGTTTGATGCCTCTTTGGTCCTTAGAAATATATATTTTTTTTGCTGTGAATATTTTTGTTTTATTAGAAGACCAGATTAATTTCTCAAAAAAAAAAAAAGAAAAGAGAGGAGAGAGAGAGAGAGGCGAAAACTGGATTTAACGCTGATTTTAGTGACTCTTCTGAATGTTGTGTAAATAGGGTTGAAATTGATTACAGGGTTGTTTTCATTTTTAAGAAACGGCTTTTTTTTTCACCGATTTTCTATTGGCAAAAAATTTGCTCAGTTTGAGTAATAAAAATGTAACAATATGTCTAGTAGGCTTGAATGCTTGGAAGGCTTCTTTTTGGATTTTAATTGTATGCTTAAAAATGTTAATGTACATTTTTATGTATTTTGATTTTTGACTTTAATTATGTTTCTGATATAGGTTCTAGCGCAGTTCCACAAGGGTTGGCTGTGCGGTTTCCTTTTGAAGTCTTCGTCATTAGGTTCTGTTCAGCTTTAAATTGATTATGTCTGCTGACATCATGATGAGCATTCCTAATGGCAACGGCAATGGCAACGCACAACCTGATCCTCAGCGAACGTACCAAGTTGTTGTGGCTGCGACTAAAGATTTGGGCATTGGTAAGGATGGGAAGTTACCTTGGAAATTGCCCTCTGATCTCAAATTCTTCAAAGATGTCACTCTGACTACGTCAGACTCTGGGAAAAAGAATGCAGTCATAATGGGTAGAAAAACATGGGAAAGTATTCCCCTTCAGAACCGGCCTCTTCCCGGTCGTCTTAATGTTGTTCTGACTCGTTCTGGAAGTTTTGATATTGCAACTGCTGAGAATGTTGTTATATGTGGAAGCATGACGTCTGCTTTGGAATTACTAGCTGCTTCTCCTTATTGTCTTTCAATTGAGAAAGTCTTTGTCATAGGTGGCGGCCAGATATTTAGGTGCAGAACCTATTTTTTTACATGTTTTGTGTGATCTTTTATTTCATTTTGCTTACTTTTCCTCATATGCACTACCTTTTGATACAGGGAATCCCTTAATGCGCCGGGATGTGATGCTATCCACATTACAGAAATTGAGACAAGCATTGAATGTGATACTTTTATGCCTTCCATTGATTCCTCTGTGTTTCAGCCATGGCATTCATCATTTCCTGTGGTGGAAAACAACATTCGATATTGCTTCACAACCTTTGTTCGTGTGAGAAACTCTGCAGTTGAACATATCAGCCAGAACAGTGATCAGGTCTTTGATGATAAGCCAGATGCTGGTAAATTTGAGGTAAAGAAGTTCTCTTTCCTGCCCAAGATGATTTTTGAGAAACATGAGGAGTACTTGTACCTAAAAATGGTTCAAGACATCATCTCTGATGGTAATCTGAAGGATGACAGGACTGGGACTGGGACTTTTTCAAAGTTTGGTTGCCAGGTAACATGTAACTCTTAGTTAAAGTACTGTCTATTTTGCTTGAGGAAATAGGTTTCCATTGTTTTTTTCTGGTTTTTGATTGCTGATTAGTAGACTTTTCTCTTTCTCCATATAATCCACAGATGCGATTCAATTTGCGAAAAACTTTTCCTCTTCTGACAACTAAGGCATGTGTATTATTCTTTTTGATGTTTTTTTTAGTTTATTTACTGGTTGCGTTGTAATGGAGTTAGTTCCTCTATATATTATTTTCAGTGTTAACTAGACAGAAATTGATGTGTTCATATCGATTTGTCTGCAGAAAGTATTTTGGCGAGGTGTTGTTGAAGAGCTTCTTTGGTTCATCAGTGGTTCAACTAATGCCAAGGTAATAATAGCTTTGTTGGATGTCTTGAACAACATGCTTCATTTACATTGCTAGACATCTTTTATGCTCTGGTGGTACTAAAGTGGAGCTCTTCTTCTCCATCTTTTTAGTTGCTAGTAAGTTCATTGAAACATTTTCTATTGGCCTTCAAACATTTTTGTCTTCCAAATGAACTGATCTGATTTACAGGATGGCTGAATTAGCAACTGCAGATTTTCTTTTGATATATTAGCTGGGGACTTAAGATTTAATTTTAAAATATTTGCACCATTAACAGGTCCTTCAAGACATGGGCATTCATATATGGGATGGTAATGCGTCCAGGGACTTTCTTGATAGGTATCATATGACTTTTTTGCTATCAATTACTTGTTGAGCTATGTACTGTTTCACCTGTTGTTACTAACTTATATTTGTATGACAATGTCAGTATTGGGTTGACTGATAGGGAGGAGGGTGACTTGGGACCTGTGTATGGGTTCCAGTGGAGACATTTTGGTGCTAGGTTGGTGAATTTTGACTGTTCCTATGCTTGACTTGGGACCTGTTCCTATTCTTCACTTGCTTGTATCATATGTTTTCCAGGTATACTGACATGCATGCTGACTACACTGGACAAGGATTTGATCAATTGTTAGATGTTATTGACAAGATTAAGAATAATCCAAATGATAGAAGGATTATCCTCTCAGCCTGGAATCCTTCTGATCTCAAACTGATGGCACTTCCACCTTGCCACATGTTTGCCCAGGTTAGTATAACTCTTAGGTTGTGAACCTATGTTTGACTTTTTCTTTTGTAATTAAATTAATTCTTTCCAAATATGAACTTTTGCAGTTCTATGTAGCGTACGGGGAGTTATCATGTCAAATGTATCAGCGCTCTGCTGACATGGGATTGGGCGTGCCATTTAACATTGCATCTTATGCTCTCTTGACATGCATGATTGCTCATGTTTGTGGTATGTTGTCATCAAGACCAATTCCATATTTATGCATGATTGAATTGCTAGAATGAATCGTACTATATGATGTGTGTAATTATTTTTGACCAATTAGTGGCTGAAAGAGTGTCTTTGGTACAACATCTGTTGCTGTGTTTCAATGCACAGATGCCTGGACATTCAATAGGTTTATTGTGCTGGCAGAGGGGTTTTAATTTTGCTTGAAGAAGCAAGACTGATTTCAATGACCAGTAATGGTTGGCTTTCTTGGATTTGTAGACTTCGCTCCTGTAGAGAATAGATAAAGAAATGAACCAAAAAGGGATAGAAAACAGATTTGATGCTAGATCTGTGATCCCAGCTTCCTGCTTCTCTCTAATTGATTAGACTACTCGTTTTCTCTTCTCCTAGATCTGTAATGTATGCTTTTATGAAGCTATATTAATTTCTCTTATTTTGTACAGATCTTATTCCAGGTGATTTTATCCATGTGCTTGGTGATGCTCATGTTTATAGCAATCATGTCAGGCCCCTGCAGGAGCAGCTTCAGAAACTGCCCAAGCCTTTTCCAGTGAGTACAGTGAATTAATCTTCAACACCATGCAGGGGCTAATTTTTGGTTTTTCCCTCACTGCATTTCTCCTAGAACGTTTTCTTACAATATTGGAATGCAGATTTTGAAGATCAATCCAGAGAAGAAGAATATAGATTCCTTTGTGGCATCTGATTTCAAACTTATAGGCTATGATCCTCATGAGAAAATAGAGATGAAAATGGCTGTATAGTGCTCTGTTTAGGTTAAGTAAACTCAGAGGCTCCAGTGCAATTCTAGGCAGCATCTTCTCAGTTTTGAGGTAAATTTATGATTCTACAGTTATGCATTTGATGATTAGTTTTGTCTAACTGGTCTCTGTTATGCCATAATTAAGGTTTGCATGTAAAGTAATTTAGGTTAAGTAGTTTATGGTGTACATCTGGATGCTTGGAGCTGTACATAGTTGGTATGCATCTTTGATAAGTTGTCAGCAAATTCTCTGCTTGATGCCACTTGTTCATACTTTTTTTTAAAAAACATTGTAGTCGGTAATGTGCACATATTTTTCATAGTACAGTGGCTATATCTCATTGGATGTGCCAAATCAAATGTTGTACAAGATGGTGTTGGAAAATAGAATGCTTTATATCCTCTAGCAAATCATAGGTAAAGTTGTATTCCATTGTAAGTTCACTGCTATAGAGAAGGGGTTCATGCATGCTAAAATTTGTTGAGCAAATAGTTTCATTTAATGGGTCTTGGCATTTGACTTGCACAACATGAAATTTTCTTTCCAGTTACAAGGATTTAGCTCCAAGAGATTTGAGTCATGTGTTTTGATATCATATTTCAGGGCCCGTTGCTGGAGGCTTATGTTGATGTAGAGACTTATACCGATAGCAAAATAAAAGTTTGCTAGTTGGATACAATTCAAGGACGATATGTAGTAAGTGAGAATCCTTTAGTTCCACATTATTGTTGGTGGTTCTAAGGTGATTTAGGATACTGTATTTTCTTGTTTTTCAAGTTTATTTTTATTTTTGTCTTAAGTTTTAAGAAGCTATCACTTTCTGAATTGCTAAACATGTTCTTGAACAAGACTGGATTTTGGAAGACTGGGTCTTTCAGTGAAAGTGTTTTATTTTGGTACATCAGTTTGATTCTAGCGGGTGAACTTATAATTAGTTTTAGTGGTTTTTTGTTACAAAATCACTTTTATTTGGAGGATTGCCAGGATAGGACCGGTGAATCATGGATGGAAAAATTATATCAATGGTGTCAAATCTGGAAATTTGTTCGTGAAAGAAAATTTTGGTTTGCCAATTTAATAGTCTACTGTTCTTATGAAAATTATTATTATTATTATTATTTTTGCCTTAGATGTGGTCATAACCTGCTTTCAGTTGAAATCTGATGCTTTTTAATGATCAAGCCGGGGCTTTTCCGATTCAAAATTACCGCTTTTGCTGAAGCTCTTGGTGTTAACAGATGATTATCCGAACCAAAGAATTAAAGACACTTGAGAAAAATGAAACGTGAATTGATCAGATGTATGGAAGTTTACAAGTTACAGGTGAGGATCAGATGTAACTCCACAGAAGATAAATAGCGCACGGGGCAATATCCAAGTGCCTGTATTCATAGCATTAACAACCCTCATATATCGTCCAATTAAAAGAAACAGAAAACTTTGATGAAGGTTGAAATCAGCAATGGCGAATTCGGTAATAATCTTTTGGGTTTGGTCTCATTGTGACGTGAGAAGATAATGCTCAATTCTGTCAATGCTCCCTAACATCTGCTGCAGATCATTGTTTTTTAACCCAATATTTCTGTTACCAAAATAAACATTCAAAGATGCTCAGAAATATGGAAATTGATCGACTTGGTTGAGTTGTTACACTTGCATGGTAGGATGATTTCATGCCAAATTTCTGCTTTCCCCAGAAAACAAGTAAACAAGACATTCTTGGTACATATATTAGGCTATTGTTTCTCTCTCTTCAGAGTCATATTCTTCTTCTACCAGAAAACTACAGCGATTTACTGAATCATTAGTGTTTGTTGGTTCCCTCGATCTTCCTGTTTCTTGCTTTTACCTTGTTTGTCTTCTAGCTTGTCCCAACCCTCTGCTGCTTGCGCTACTCCAGATTGTGATTCACCAGCTTCAGATTCGGCCTCAGCTTCTCGACCTTCTTCTAGCTTGGCGTCAAGAAACTCGATGAGACCTCGTAGCACAATTTCAGACACCTCGTCTTTCATCAGCTGCTCACCTACTTCTGCTGGGGTCACCTTCGATATCTCTAGCAATTCCTCAATCTCTAAGAAGAGCGGGTGCTCTGAAATCCCGAGGTAATTGGAAGCCAGCATTTTGAACCCACATGGAGTGCAGTAGGACATGTGGATGTGCATATCCATTCGACCAGGGCGTAACAAAGCTGGGTCAAGCCGGTCCTTGTGATTGGTTGTGAACACTATTATCCTTTCATCCCCACAGCTTGACCATAACCCATCTATGAAGTTCAGCAAATCCTGACAGGGTCAACTGATACTGATAGAAAGCAAAATGTGAATCTTTAGGTTCCATTATATTCATTTCCATTCTCAATGCCACAAACACACAGCAACAGGTGTGTATGATGATATCTCATTATCCAAACACGTATCATAATTCATTGCAATTTGATATATCAATATCAAAACCAGAATTCCTTATGAAAGACGAGAAGAAATTTCCCGCTATAAGATATGCTGTACCAGTTATTCTTGCTCTAGCTTACCAACTTAATGGAAACGTTACTCCTACATAGACTTTGAGAAAAGCTTTTATCTGAATTTGGGTGGTGTTAAAAATTTCTGATAATCAGAATCTTAATAAGCATACACAAAATACAACGATTAAAAGCACGCAATTATAAATAGGACGTTAGTATTTTGACAATGCAGCATAGTCTTCTTAATTATTTACCTGAGGTAAATGAATATGTCGAGAACTTTGTGCTGCCGCCAGCCCTGGCTTGTGCAAGCCTATCCTGCAACTCCAGAGAACAATCAATATCCTCCACAACCAGTATTGATTTGTTCCCAGTTGAAATCACCAACTTCCTGAGCTCTGAATTCCCTCTGATTCAGTCAACTCCAAGTCATAAATATCAAAATTAAGATAATTGGCCATGGCAGCAATCAAGCTTGACTTCCCTGTGCCAGGGACCAAAAACAAGTACCCCCTTTTCCAGGCCTTGCCTACCCTCTTGTAGTACTCCTTTCTTTTCACAAATCTCTCCAAATCCTCCACTATTTTCTGCTTCATCTCTGAATCCATTGCCAGGGTTTGAAAAGTAGCCGGATGATCAAGATTCACTGACTGCCACATATCCCCTTTCCTTCCAGGCATCCTCTCGTACTTCAAGGTATATAACTTCAAGGTCTTCTTTTTCTCCTTCATTTCTTTTGCTTTGGCCAATATATGCTGCATATATTCGTTCAGATCATTTCTTTATGTTTCTTATGGAAACTTAGCTCGAAGAACGAATCTCGGATTTAACCACAGGGTTGTAAGGATCAGATCCTTGAATATACTTGGAAGGAATATTTTTTGAAGCAAACCTCCACTTCACTTGAACCCCATTAAACTTATCAATGATTTCTTCATTCTTTTCAAGGGACAATGAAATCTTTCCTTCTTTTCTTGGCATGGTTACTCTAATTCTCTTCGTGTTAGGGGGGATTGTGGGCTCAAGATAGAGCTCTGCAGCCTTGTAAAGAAGGTTATGATTGAGACCATCATATTTTTCGATGACTAACGTGAGCTCTGAAGACAAAGAGGCAAGGAGATCCTTGATTTTCAAGAAAATGAAGTCTCGCAGCTCGCGAGGAACAAATTCTTTGGCGACGGAGCGCACCAGCATGGCAGTGGCGGCGACTGATGCAGCAGCTGAGAAGATGACCTTGGCTGAGTGACCTTGGTTGGTGCCGTTGAAAAATGAGGTGGGTATTTTCACTGAAGGCATTTTGTTCTTTCTTAGGGAACTGAAGAAAAAGAAGAATTAAAAAAACAAAGAAAGGAAGGTTTGCTGAATCTTTAAGAGTAAAAGGAAACAAGCTCTGGGTATTGATATGCTATCAATGTAAACATGAAGAAATGGTGTTGTAACAACGTTCGTAGGAAGCAAGGAGTGGAAACAGTAGGAGAAACACTTCCTTGTTCCGGAGTGGGCAGCTGAGTCAAACGATACCGTTTTTGCCTCTTCTATTGCAGGAACTTCCGCGACGATCAACAGCACCGTTGACTTGCTTTGGTCACCAAGTAAAAAGGTTCAAATTAATCAGTAAAGCGAAATTGATGTTCACGCTCCAATGTTTGTTCAGAAAAGGAGTAATCAGCGCGTGGCAACTGGTATCAGCTTTTCACATTTTGTTTTTTTATGAAACTTCTCATCACTTTCCTTACTACTCTTTCCCACTCTCAGCTTTATTCAGAATAAACAATATTTTAATTAATGGTGCGGAAATTCTTAACTCCTTAAACTTAACATTGTAATTAATATTTTAATTATTGCCTATTCACACTCTCCACTAAAAACTTAACATTGTAATTTTTTAAATTACAATCAATTAAATAATTTCTTTCTATTAAAATTAAATTTTAATTAAATATATTAATGTTTATCTATTCACACTCCACAACATTAATTATTTATGTTTTTACTTACAATTTTTTATTATAATCACAACTTAGTAAAAGAAGGTAAGAAACTTATAAATCCAACATGCAAATTAGTATAGCAAATTGGTAGAAATAATATTAGAGAAAAAATACAAATACATTATCCATTCAACAATAAATAAACCCATTTAATTGGTTAACCAATTCTAGAACAAAGAAGGATATATGGAGCTTAATTCAATTAATTTATATTCAATTCCAGACGCAATTAATAATTTTGCAAACAAACAATATTATGATTAAACTCATATTTAAAACAACTAGACATATATAATTTACTCTATTAAGTTATTAAGAGATGCTACCCACTTTAACTATGCAGGGTATTAAGAGTTAAGAGACTTCCACTTACATCAATCGTATCATCTAAACTTGTTCACGATAATCTAAGCTAATACTTTACTTAAAGATTCACTATAATGTTCTTTATTTTCTTTTTATTCCATCAATTTTCTACTCCAATTTAAACTTTGTACATCTCAACTAAAACATATATAAAACAACTTTTTAGATAAATAAATTTGAAAAAAAGTTATGTTGAGTAGAATTTTTAAAACAAAAAAATTTAGCTCTAATTCTAAGCTATTTTTGTCATTAGGACAAGAGATTTCATTGAAGTTCATATTTTCATTGTCAATTTGTTGCTACTCTATTATTATATTCAATTAAAATTAATGAATTGAATGCTATTGGATCAGAAAGAAAGCAATGAAGAGTCACAAAGAATATAGGAAACTATTGAGAGTTAAATGGTGTGTAAACAAAAGGTGAGAGTAATTGATATTAAATAGAAGTGTGGATAGATAAATAGTAACATAATTAATTAAAATTTGACCTAAATAAAAAATTATTTAGGGAGGGTAATTTAAAAAATTTACAATTATACGTAGTTACAAGAAAGTGTTAATAGACAATTAAGAGTGTCAATAGCCCCACCCTTAATCTAATTGAGATTGATTTTTTTATTTAATATTAAAAAAAATGATTCGAATCTTATTTTTTAAATGAAAGTATGTGCATTTGTTATTAAATTTTTAATTAATTCTTGATAATGACACTTTTCACTTTATTTATGCTATGTATAATATACATGAAAAAAAGACAGATCACAGTAGTACATATTCAAGTCATTTTTGTTTGGTGTAACATTTTAAAAAGCTTTTATTAAAAAAATTTAAATAAATGTTTATTTTTTTATTATGTTCAATTAAATTTTTATATTTTTATTTTAAGTTAAATAAATTTTTATAACTAATAGCTAATTATCTGTTATTAATCAAAATATAACTTGTTACTTGTATACTATATGACAATGACACAATGTGTGATAATATCATATAACCATGTCACTATCTATTATGCTAGATAAATATGCAAGTGACATAAAAGACGACGAGTTGTATTTAATTAATAACATTTTTATTGGACCTCTTTTAAAGTTCTGGGGTCGAATGGGCTACTCTTTGGGCCGATCAGCCCAATATAGTTCTTAAAGGGAAAAAGTTTCTTTCTTTTGAGCTTTTTTATCAACTGAATTTTTAGTCTGTCACATTTGATTGTTTCCTTATATAAACTCACTGCCAAGTTGAAACATGTTCAACTGCAAGTTTCTTTGGAGTAAATGAATTTTACAATAGGATACAAAACATGCTCTGCTGTGCATTGCAAGGATTACAAATTAGTTTATTTATGATTTATCACAAGTTTGAATTTTCAGCTTTTTAAGTTTTCTTTGCTAGGAGGAAGCCGATTAGGCCTTGCAGTGCTGCTTCAGGATCCTCATTCTTTAGTAACTGCTCACCAACTTCTGCAGGGGTTACGGATATTTCATCCAGGAGCTCTCTGGTTGTGGAGATAAGAGGGTGATCAGTT